TTTTTGGGGGATTTTGGGGGAATTTTAAAAAAAAATTTGGGAATTTTTGGGAAAAAAAATGCGAATTTGGGGGGATTTTAGGGAGTTTTGGGGCAATTCAAGGGGATTTTGGGGGCGTTTTAGGGGTGTGATTTATGGGCATTGGGGGGGATTTGAGGGGTAATTTGGGGGAATTTTAGAGAATTTTGGGGATTTTTGGGAAAAAATTGTGGATGTGGGGGATTTCGGGTTGGAATTTTGGATTTTTTGGGAATTCTGGCCTCATTTCCGGGTTACCTGTGCCAGGTGTGCCCCAGGTGTGCGGGACCTTTCTTGGGGCAATTTTGGGGTATTTTGGTTGGAATTTTGGGGTTCTTTGTTGGATTTTTGGTGGTTTTGGTAGGATTTTTGGGGAATTTTGGGAATTCCGGGAATTCCGGGAATTTCCGGGCTCACTTCCGGGTTACCTGCGCCAGGTGTGCCCCAGGTGTGCGGGACCTTCCCTGGGGCAATTTTGGGGTATTTTGGTTGGAATTTTGGGGTTTTTTGTTGGATTTTTGGTGGTTTTGGTAGGATTTTTGGGGAATTTGGGGAATTTTGGGAATTCCGGGAATTTCCGGGCTCACTTCCGGGTTACCTGCGGCAGGTGGGGCCCAGGTGTGCGGGACCTTTCTTGGGGCAATTTTGGGGTATTTTGGTTGGAATTTTGGGGTTTTTTGTTGGATTTTTGGTGGTTTTGGTCGAATTTTTGGGGAATTTTGGGAATTTTGGGAATTTCCGGCCTCACTTCCGGGTTACCTGCGCCAGGTGTGCCCCAGGTGTGCGGGACCTTCCCTGGGGCAATTTTGGGGCATTTTGGTTGGAATTTTGGGGTTTTTTGTTGGATTTTTGGTGGTTTTTTGTAAGATTTTTGGGGAATTTGGGGTTTTTTGGGAATTTTGGGAATTTACGGCCTCACTTCCGGGTTACCTGCGCCAGGTGTGCCCCAGGTGTGCGGGACCTTTCTTGGGGCAATTTTGGGGTATTTTGGTTGGAATTTTGGGGTTTTTTGTTGGATTTTTGGTGGTTTTGGTAGAATTTTTGGGGAATTTTGGGAATTCCGGGAATTTCCGGGCTCACTTCCGGGTTACCTGCGGCAGGTGGGGCCCAGGCCTGCGGGGCCGGGGGGATTTGGGCCTTCCTGAGCTGCCCCCCCGAGAACGAGTGCGAGAACGGGCACCACACCTGCGGGCCCAGCCAGGTGTGCCGCGACCTCGCCGACGGCTTCACCTGCGCCTGCCGCGCCGGCTACCGCGCCGACAGGTGAGCGCGCACCTGGGCGGGGAGGGGACACACCTGGGGGGGACGGGGACACACCTGGGTGGGACAGGGACACACC